TATGCATGCGTGTCGCTATCGGGTTGTGTTTCTCTGTGTCTCTGAGTTTCTGCTGCTGTATGCAACGGAGTGCTGCTGCTGCTGTTGCTGCTGCTGCTGTTGCTGCTGCTGCTGCTGCCGTTGCTGCTGCTGCTTTTGCTGCTTACTGTCTGCTGCAGAGGAGGTTAAACACCGAGAGGTCCTATTGCTGCTGCTGCTGCTGCGTTTGCTGCTGCTGCTGCTTCTGGGCGAACAGCAAGAAGTGGTTAGGGTGCTGCAGCTGCTGCTTCTGCTGCTGCTGTTGCAGGTACCGCTGCTGCAGTTCCCGCTGCTGCTGTTGCTGTTGCTGCTGTTGCTGCTGCTGCTGCTGCTGCTGCTGCTGCTCAGCAGCAGCCACAGAGACTGAAGATGGTGGGAGAAGGGGTGTTGCTGCTGCAGCAACAACCACCAGACAGTGCTGCTACGGGGTTGCAGCAGCAGCAGCAGCAGCAGCAGCAGGAGCAGGAGGGGGGCAGCAGCAGGAGGAGCAGCAGCAGCAAGAGAGAAACACAGCAGCAAGCCGAGAGCTCTACTCTGGCTGTATCTGCTGCTGCTGCGCTGCAGCCAGGAGCTGTCGCAGCAGCAGCAAGATGAGGTGTATGTACACCTGGCGAGATGCTGGGGTGTATGTACACCTCAGCTGCTTGTATATGTTTTGTGTGTTCAGAGCTTCTTAGAAGGAAGGAAAAAAAGAAAAAGACTGCTGCTGCTGCTGCCGCTGCTGCTGCTGCTGCTGCTGCTGCTGCTGCTGGTGTTGCTGCTGCTGCTGCTGCTGCTGCTGCTGCTGCTGCTGCTGCTGCTGCTGCGACTCAGCTGCTGCATACCAGACAGCCGCAGCTAGGCAGGGGCCGCTCTAAACCTTATAAAGAGAAAATAAAAAGAAAAACATTAAAAGGGTCTTCAGTATCTTAAACGCAAACAAACAAGCAGTGAGAGAGATGCAACAGCAGCAGCAACTGCAGCAGCAGCAGCAGCAGCAGCGGCAGCAGCAGCAGCAGCAGCAGCAGCAGCAACACCCAACCGCTATATACGGACAAGCCACAGAGACAGACCACTACAAATTCTTTACACTTCTACTTTATTGAATATATAAAGATAAAGGAAGAGACGCTCTGCTGCTGTTTGCTGCTGCTGCTGCTGCTGCTGCTGCTGCTGCTGCTGCTGCTCCAGGCAGTCGCGCAGCACAACCTCTGGGGTGTATGTACACCTCAGCAGCCACTGGAGGATCGTTCTGTGTCTGTCTGCGGTGTACATACACCTCAGCAGCAGCAAAATTTAGGGTTTTATTAGTTGCTGTCTTCTCCTTTTCTTTTCTTGTTTGCTTCTGACTATCTCCCGCTTGCCTGCAGCAGCAGCAGCAACCCGAAGCAGCAGCAGCAGCTGCTGAAACTGCTGCTGCAGCAGCAGCAAAAGCAGCAACAGCAGCAGCACCAGCAACCACAGCAGCAACACCAACGCCACACACAGAAGGCAATAGTATACACCGCCCAGCTGCAGCAGCAGCAACACGTGGCACTACAAAGACGTGCTGCTGCTGCTGCTGCTGCTGCTGTTGCTGCTGCTGCTGCTGCTGCTGCTGCTCACCTGTAGATATATTAGCCCTGCCAAGCTGCAGCAGCAGCTCGCAGCAACAGCAGCAACACGTATGAGGGCCTCCCCCCTGATCAAGCACCGAGACACAGACACACTAAACCCTAAACCCTAAACCCTAGCCCAGTAACATATAAACCCTAAACCCTAATAAGTTCTCAATCCTGCAGCAAGTTTAAATAGCTGCAGCAACACAGCAAGAG